TTGATAATATACAACAAAGTTTTGATATATAATCAAATATTTAAGCCTGTCTGGGCTTACAGTATTCAATTATGGGGCTGCGCTGCGCATATTCAATCTATTCAAAGATTTCAAAATAAGGTATTACGGGACATTGTAAAAACCCTGGTATGTATGTAATGTTGATATACAAAGGGATCTTACGATCCTAAGTGTCACAGACAAAATTAAAAAGCAAGCAGCCAATCATAAAATGCGTTTATCCAATCATGTCAATATCGAGGCGGCTCGATTGGTTGACAATCAAAACTTTGTTAGAAGAAAGGTTTTTTTCATGTGGAACAATAAGTATTTAGTACGCTATTGTGCCAGATCAAAAACTGGTAAATAATCAAAAAAGTTGGATCAAAAATAATAGTCGTTTCCGTTTAGTTTTATAATTTATTTTGAGGAGGGTGTTTTTTAGTGGTTAAAGTTCCACACTACTGCTTTTCGTCTGGTAGTGTCTTTCAAAATTTTTCACCCTTCCTCCCGGTAAAAAAAAAAAAAAATGTTTAAAAAAATATACCAGACGGAAAATTTGAAAAAACTGTTAAAAACTTTGTATGTGATAAACGTCAAATTTCAAAATATTTATCAAACATAAGCAAATATTCTTTGGTTGTACCAAAAATCGAACATTTTGATTTTGTATTATAAAAGTGTGAAACTTGAAGAAACCATTTGTAAACTCATTTTAGTTTGTTTTTAATTGAAAAGTTTTGAAAAAAAAAGTTGTTGATTAAAAATTTCTTTTTTAAAATAAAACCTCTTGACATAACCAAGAAAAACATATGTTTTGAAAGCTGTAAGATTTTATAAGTTTTTGAAACACTAAAGATCTGTCTGGTTTCAGAAAATTTTTTAAAACTTTATAAAGTTTTTGCATGCAAAGCGTCTGGGATAATACTTTTTAAACAAAAATAAGAGAAAATGATGACATTTTCTTAATGTTTTCAAGTTTTGTAATGTAAAATTTATTTAATAAATTTTTTGCGTTTCATAAAATAATTCTCTTAGTTTTCTTGGGGTTGTAAATCAATTTTTTTAGGTTGTTATAACACAAAATCAGAGAAATTAGCACTACATATTGATATAAAAATACATTTTAATTATTTCTAAAAAAAAGAAGATTATTGCAGTTTTTGCCAAGTATTTGGTTTTTACTAAGTATTTTTTCTGGTTACTGTAACAAATTTCTTAGTATAAACGATAAAAATTTTTGTTATAGGTAACTTACTAAGAAATTTCAAACCGCAGAAATGGATGTAAATAGATATCTCATTATTTAAAGATTTTAAAAAATCCATCATACACATACGGAACAAAAAAAGATGGAAATTCAAAGAAAATAATCGATATTCTGTTAATACAATGAAATTTTTATGCAAGTAAGTTAATTTAATTTCACTATAATTGAACTTAAGTCTAACATAAAAAGTAACAACTTCAATCATAGCATTCAAAATTTTTAAACACATAAACTCTTTAAATAAAATAAAATAAAATTTCTATTTTAGATGGCTTAACTCTCATAGCAATGCATTTACTACGTCATATTATAAGATCAGCTGGACATGTAACGACTGCGGGTAAAAGAAAAAAATCCCAGAGGCTTAAAAAAGACATTATAAATAATTGGAAGGGCAGACTAAAATATTGATAATTTCGTTCAAAAAAGAATTCAATGGCAAGACTGTGTTCAACCTCAGGTGTTTATCCAAGATTCAATTTCTAAGAAAGGGTCAATATTAGAACTTGTTTTGAAGTTTCGTGTTTCATAATAATTTTTAATATTTGCAAAGACTTTTTCTAAAATTTTGCATTATTTATTAAAAATTTTGTTTTTCAAACACATAAATATGTATTTATTTTTATATTGACTTGATGTTAAATTATAATTAATTGATTAAAAAAGCTGGTGTGAATTACATAATAATATTTAAAAAAACAAAAACCATTAATTAACAATTAGTTTTATTAAGTATTTTTCAGATTCCATAGTTATCACCTCAGCAAATATGTAATAAATTGGAAAATGACAAGAACCAATTTAATTTTTTACCTTTTAAGATAAGAAAAAGACGATTCTTATACCATATCAAAGATATACGTTTGCTATGACAATTACTAGTTATCATTGTCACCATATATAAGTATGTATTTGTAAAATTTACAAGGTGATGTGATGGCAACAAATTTTGCATATCGAGTTTTCGGTGGGAATGCACTTCTCCATAATAGGGAAGTGTAAGTAAACTATTTTTAGCAACCTGTCGGTCCGTTGGTATGTCGATCTGTCGGTCTGTGTGTGCACGCGTGTATCTCAAGTTCTACTGAACCGATTTTGATGAAATTTTATATGTAAGTTTATTTCGACTATGGCACGGATTGATCAACTTTTGGGATATATCAGGCCTCGGGAACTGCACTTTTTAGCGGGCCTGTTTTACATTTTTGAGCATTTTGAAGAAAATATTCAACCAATTTACTTGAAATTTTATATACATATAAGCTTCACTGACCGACCGCGAAACTTTTGGAAGAAATCAGGCATCAGCAACTGGACGTTTATTACGGGCCAAAAATACATTTTTGCGTATATAAAGAGATATAATCAACCGATTTCATTGAAATTTAATATTTAAACTCCTCGTATTAAAACAATGAACATATAAATTTTTTTGGAAAGATCAGGGCTTGAAATTTGATTTGCGGGCCGATTTTACATTTTTCACCATATCTACGGAACGAATTGATGGAATTTCTTGAAATTTGATATTTGAGTTCTGGTCGTTACCGAAACTAACTGGCGAGCATTTCAGGGAATTCGGGTAACACAAAGTGAAATTCTACTAAGAGCCAAATTTACATTTTTCTAGGTATGTTAACTATAAGCTTACTAATGTCCTAAAAATTGGAAATAAGTATTTAACAAACATTTTTAAAATATTCTGTAACATTTTCACTTAACTAGACAATACACATTGCGGTCAGTTATGTGCTGACCACATCAGATTATTTATTATTTCTAACATTTCTTACATTTTTTGTTGTTGTATTAGTGTCAAGTTTAAATTTAAAGACTTATCAAAACATTAGGTAAAAAAATTATCGTTTTTACCAAATTTACTTGTAAGCGTAAAAGTATACTATTAAAAATATTAGTTTGTGCTCAGTTTACGGTAATTATTACTAAGGTTTTTCTTGTAAATAATAAAATTTTCTTGTATATAATTTGAAAAAAGTTGATCTTGTGGGAGATTTATGAAATTAAAAAGGGTCTTCTAAAGCTTGCATAAGAATACGTGTAAAAATATAATGATGAGAATGAATCATATGTAATGGCTACAATTTTAGACTTCTATAACTTATTATTTATAACTTACGAAAAAAAATTATGTTGATTTATTTTAATTATAAAAATCTGGCACGTTTTTTTTTTTAAAAAGGCTGTAGCTTGAAAACGTGTATTACTTAACTAGTCGTGTGTGCTTGCATTGCAAGCCTTGCAAATATTATGTTTGTAGTTTTGAAATTGTGTTCCATTCTGTGTGTGAGATATTTTAAGTTTACTTCTTTTCTTCAAAAACACACGTGTAATATACATACATATAGATGTTTTTTTCCTAATATTTTATAAAATAAAACTAATATTTTATAAAATAAAAATAATAACGAAAAATTACGAAAAAGTACATAATTAAACAAATAATTAGTTCCTTTGAGATCTAATATCTTTGCAGTAATTTATTTTAGAACCTCGCTCTGAGTTATATCGCATGAAATCGTAAATTACTTTTAAAAATAAAAACTTTAAGCGACAAATTACTGTATACGCATAAAATAATTCGGTACAAAAATGCATGCATGCTGGTATTTAGATTTTATAATCCAGGCGAATAAAACGCGTGAATGTGTAATCAGTTAATACTAATGATATTAAGGGTAATGCGTATAGCAGACGATTTCCATGCAAAAAGTCCCCGGTTCGAACCCTGAAAAATGCCAGATGAACTTTTTGCCAGATGAACTTTTTTAAATGAAATTAAAAAAGAACTTTGCCAGATGAACTTTTTTAAATGAAATTAAAAAAGCTTTAACCTTACAAATCAATATCAGCGAGTTTCCGTTTTAAATATTTTTTTGATAATATCCTATTTGTAAAAAGTTTAATGCAGTAGAATAACATTTTATAAAATTTTGTCCTAAAAATATATTGTCAAGAAATTTAATGCTTACTAACACATTTTGCAGCAGAAAAAATGCATAACTAAATGCGTACCTACATACTAATTATAAAACAATGTAGATTGTATTAACTTTAACAATTTCCTTGAGGAAGTACATATTCACTTGTTATAACGCACACTTCCAAAACACAATTTGTATAGAATACTTAAGCTACCAAAAGTAAATAAAAATGACCCCTACAAGATGTAGTTTTGTAAAAAGCGGTAACAAAGCATCTTGGTTGATGAAGGAGGGGGTGGAGGGGGGGGGGGGGGGGGGAGTGGGTGTGATTCTTGATTTTTCTGGGACCCTAGAGGCAAAACCCTGTCTAATGCTTTTTGTCCCATGTCTCTAACCCTTCTAGAAGTACCCGTACTTTTTGACACCTCAGAAGTAGCTATATATATATATATATATATATATAATATCTCGACGTGGAAAGTTTTCGCCTAGAGAGCAGTCACTGGTTCGAGCCTAGCGTGAGGAATAAATTTTTCAATTTTTCTGCCTTGAATGGTTCCTTGTATTATCTATCCGTTTTGTAAATTATCCGTGACTTCAGCAATGTCATATAAACGTTGCCAGAAATAACCAATTAAAAAAACTAGAATATATTTTCAGCAGTAAAGTGCTAGTGATTAAGTTTTTTTTTCTAAAAAATCTAAAAAGTTTCATGTGTCCAGGCATTCAACGGAATAAAATATGTATATATGCATTTTTTTCTATTTTATGTTTTGTTAAAAACTTGTATTTTTTCTACTAAAAAATTTATATATAAATTTACATAATGTAAGGTTGTATGATAAACCGTAAATTTTTAAATATTTGTATGTAATGTATGTAATAAAATACAAATCTTAGATAATTAGATTTCTTTTCAAGTTTAAAAACTAATTATTTAACAAAAGGACAAGTTTATTTTGTTTCATTAACTAAATGAAAACTTAATTTTAAATTTAACTTTAACAAGTCAACAGTTGTGGCACTTTACTAAACCAACTTCGTCACAATTCATGCACTTCAGTGCTATAAATTCTGCTGTAAAATGATTTCGATGAAGTGATTTCTTTGAACCATTGCAGTATGGGCATGGTAATAATCTGTATCCTCCACATACTTTGCAGGTGACTGTCACGTCAAATGACTAAAATATCCAAATAAGTAGAATTAATAACATTTTTTTAGTCATTTTAATCGTTTTCAATTTTCAAATTTTTACCTTATAAGGTTTTAACAATTTCCTTAATTCCCCGGTTTCATTCAATTTTTCTACTACATCAGCATCCTAGAATATGAAAAAAATTTTAAAACCTATTTATTAAGATTTATCTTTGGAATTTGCATAAAAAAATTACCCCAACGTACTGCCCTTCTACAAACAATTGAGGTACTTCGATAACATCCATTTGCATTCTCTCTTTAATTTCTTGTTGATATTCCAAGCTCATAAAAACATCTCGTTCTTCAAATTTTACCAGAAGGGTTCTCAAAATTTGTTTTACGTTTGCACATCTAGTATATGTTTCGCGAATGATACCCATACTTGTGGTATATACAATTACTTTCCCTATGTCTTTTTTTTTTAAATTCTAAAATTATGAAAATTTATTAGAATTTAGGCATTAAATAGTATGTAGTATTATTATATAGTAGATCTATGTAAAATTTAAAAATACTAATTTAATATTTTTTGTTTTCTTTCTGGACAAAACTTAATTAACTGAAAATTTCTCGCAACATATTCTTATATAGAATAGCAACATATTCTTTTAATTGATGATCTTCTTATTCATTCAATTGAGAAGAAAAGTTTAGTATTTTTATTAGTTTGTTAAAAAATTGATTCTGGAAAACAAGAGTGCATAACAGTTTTAGATCTGGAATAAATTTTAAGTTGGTTTTTATCTTTATAAGGAGTTTTCAAAAAGTTAAATGGATTCGATCTTTTATAGCAACGTTACAAAAGTATTGAAAACTCCTTTCAGTCTTATGAATTTGAAAAAAGTAATGCAAAGACGTATTTGCATTTTGCATTGAAACATTTTTTTTTTTTAAATTGGAAAACAAAAAAATACAAATAGTACAGCGGTTACAGCTAATTTATAACAAGCTTTCCTTTAAGAAATTAACATTTTTAGTTATTTAAAATGTCGGACTTCTTCTGTATAAATATTAAAAACATATAAATCATGTCAATGAATAAAAACGTTATGTTTCAATTAAATATTACGAAAAAACATGATAAGGTACTTCACAGCAGAAGATAAAGGTATGATAAAAACCAGTGGACAATTTTATAAATTAGAGATTTTCATAAACGCAATACTACAAAACGCAATATTGCAAAACACATCGATATGAATGATCTTGAGAAATTTATATGAATATTGAATATATCATATTATTAAGTAGGTATGTACATATGTCATAGTTACATAGTTACCAGAATTCTCTACAGACTTACCAGATTTTTCCAGCCATTAACAGAGCATATCAAATTTCTCTACATATAGAAAAACTAAGTATAAACAAAAACTGTGCTGAAAGAAATTTTACAAAATTCTCACATCTCTGTTTTGTAAGAATCTTCAAACAATTTTAACAAAACTTTGCAATTAAACTTTTTAACTTTGTTTTTATTGAACGTAATTCAAAATTTATTTTAGTACATTTGATACATGGGTTATTTTTTTAAAAGTTATTTTTTTCCAATTTCAGCGATTTCTTACTGTCTAAACGGTTTATATGGCTAAAGGTTTTTATGGCTATAGGTTTATATTTAAGTGGGCTAAGAGAGTTATATAACGAACCTTCACATAGGCATGTCAGCGGAGCTTAGTGATAGCGTAGCTTCTAAGCATCAATTTTTTGCTTCGTCAAAGAATTCTTATCCGGGCTTATGCTGAGAAAATTGTCATTATCGCTAGGAACCAGTTCGAGAAATTGACGTAATCCAAAGAAGCAAAAAATTAGGTTCCAGGAAAGTCGGTGGTTTGGTGGTGGTTGATTGACAAACTCGTATATATTTTATATTCGTCGTAATAGACGTTGTTTAGGAACTAATCCTTCTGAACCTCATTGTTGGTATGGCAGCGAAGGTTACCATTCTGCATTTGGGAAAGAATTAAGCTGGAATAATCTAAGTGAAGGATCGTGATACCTTAGCGTTGCCCTATGACGACATGATATGAGGTACAGCTTCGAAGAAAATAAGATAATTGACAAGGAAGGAAACTACCACACCTCTCGTTGGCCGGAAGCTCTTTTGCGGGCTGCGGAATCAGACATACTGTTACTAATGAAAAAAATAAGCGAAGAGGCGGTCGAAGCTCTGGAGAAATTTTCCGGGACGGATTTGAGCGATTTATAAAAATTATAAGATTGGCCAAGACTCATATAAAAGTTAATCAAAATACAGGGTGTTTCGCATAAAATAGCAAGTAATTTCAGGAATGCTTCTTTGATCAATATCCAGTGAAACATTGTAGGGGGGTGTATGCAGATTTACGCGTTTTCGAACTAAAGCCTATTGAAGAAAACACACACCAGATTTTTCGTGCATAAAAGTAAATGCATGTAACTTTTCCCCGGTGGGTTAGGTAACAGAAATAGCCACAACAGGCATGTTTATGGTACAAATTCACTAAAATCCGGGACAAACCTAGGAACGTCTGGTCCAGAGTGGACAACTTCCTGGTCTGTGTTTAATGCCAAAGGGACGGCCATAAAAAAAACCCTAGCTGGATTAAGACCCATATTTCTTATACACTATATAACGAAAGTCATCATGCACACTATATTTTTGCTATTTCTCTGAATTTAGTAATGTGCATTCATAGTTTAAGGCATAAATAATTTAAAGAACATTGAGTATAACATTCAAGGCCTCACTTAATGTACGCTTACACTTAAGAAAAATATGAAAAAGTTGTGATCTTTTTTGCAACGAAAGTTATCATACATTAATTTTATGGAATCTGTTTCGCGACATTTACGCGGCGCAAAAACACTTAGAGAAACCACAATAAAGGAAAGGGAAATAATAATGAAATTAAAACACAAAGGCAAATCTATCAGACAAATTGTTAAAATAATTGGTCGAAGTTTTTCGACAGTTGCCCAAATAATAAACCGTGCCGAAAATTCAAGAACTGTAGAAAGTCGTCATAAAATTGGTCGTCCTTCAAAAATGGATGACTGTACTAAGGAAGGTGTTTTGCAAGAATTACGGAAAGATCCAAAACTGAGTGCTACAAAATTAGTTGCAAGTACATCACAAAAATTGCACAATGATATTCATACCCAAGCTATTCGTAGATTGTGGTCACGTAAAAAACCTCTAATATCAGATATTAATAAATCCAAAAGATTAGAGGTTGCAAAAAAATACGAAAAAGCAACTTCGGACTTCTGGCAAACCGTGCTCTTCACAGATGAAAGTAAATTCAATGTTTTTAGCGCAGATGGTAGGGAAAAAACTTAGCGCAAATATAGTGAAGCACTGCATTTGCAACATATTATGCCCACAGTAAAACATAGTGGAGTTCTGTGATGGTTTGGGGGATCGATGGCGGCGTCTGAGGTGGGTAGTTTTCTTTTTATTGATGGGAAAATGGATCAGTGGCAATATTTAAATATTATTAAAAATAATTTAAAGCAGTCTGCCGAAAAATTAGAGTTGGGATCAACCTGGGTCTTTCAACAACATAACGATCCCAAACATACTGCCAGTTGTAAAGGAATGGCTGTTGTATTTTTTTTTGTTTTTTTTTCCCCTTATTCACTCTTAGAAGGAGCATTAAACTAGGGCATGATATCATGCTAGTTCCATAGCATCATAGAGTTAACTAGGTAGGTGACTAGCCTGCCGTAGTTTTATTTATATTAAATATTTAAGTTTATTAATATTTACTGTTTATTTTCCTAAGTTTTTTAATATCGAATATTACGAATATTTGAAAATTACTTGATTTGGTCAAGAAAGAACATCTGTGGAATTTTTTAGAACAAAAAATTCAGAAACACGGCGCAAGGAGTCTTTGAAACGCGTTATAATTGAAGAATTGGATAAAATACCTAGTCCAATCTATGCCAAGACGTTTGGAAGTTGTGCTTCAAGCAAAAGGTAGACCAAGAAGGTATGAGATACCATACTTTCTGCAATTTCTTTAAAATTTTTATTTAGTGTATGATGAATATCGTTGCAATTTTTAATAGAATTTTTTGTTTTATAACTTTGAATTAATGAATTGTTTTTGTTATATTTAAGCTTATAATTTTGTTTTACTTCGTTTTCTAACAAATAATAAAAGTATTAGCTTATTTGGATATCTTTAATGTTAAATTATTCAAAAAAATAATGGTGTATGATGACTTTCGTTGCAGTGTGTAATTAAAATTGAAATGTCAAATATTAAGAATAAAAATGCGGTAGGGATATCTACAAAAGTGTCGGCAGAGACCACGACTATCGGTGAGGGCTTGGCTGAATGTTGAAAGTCCATTAACTCAAGATAGAAAATCTAAGATTACTGGGACAAAGCAATACAGTTTCAAATAGCACCGAGAAAGACAAAATAGATATGGTCATGTACGAAACAGATGAGGAAGTGTTGGCTTGAGAAACTAAAAGAAACTCAAAGAAAGAAAAATAGAAGAGAAAAATCAAGAATTCACTAGAAATCGAACCGGAACTAGAAGTGAATAGTAATAAAGTAGAAAAATCTCCACCGAGTAAAAATGCTCAACGGTAATAGTGAGTAATAAAACTAATTACACGCAGTTAATAAGGGTCCTGAAAGAATAAAAAAATTAAGGTAAACAACGGGTAAAGTTTAAAGGTAAAGGTTTTAAGGTAAACAATGGGCAAAGGGTAAAGTTAAGGTAAACAATGATCAACTAAATATAAATGTTGAAAATGAAAATAAACATAGACAATTAACTAAGGCTATTAACAAAGCTAAGTTGAAATGGCATACTTATGAAAAATACTCATAAATTGACGAGACCAATTAAAGTAAAGGTCAGGAACCTACATCTATCATATAAGCCACAGGATATTAAATATGAACTTATCCAAAGGAGATCTAAATGCGTAGATGTCATAAATGAAATGAAGGACTCCTTGAACGATTAATGCTCTTATATCAAATAGGGTAAAAATGGTATTACATACTCACAAGCAGCTTCCAAAATTGCAGAAGTTCACCTAGATAACTAAAAAAGGCATGAATATTAAAGAAATTGACAATAATATAATACAAATACCTAAAGAACTTTACAGAAGCATCATGCAAATTATTCAAGACATGCTACACAGAAGTGGCGAAATCTCAATAATATTACTTATATAGTGAATGGGTATTCTAACCTATATCTAGCGACACTAAAGAAATTTCTGGTACGGAGAAGGCTAAGATGGCGTTCTAAGTAGAAAGCACGAATTGCAAGTTTTTGTTTAAGTTAAAAATATCGATGTATATCTGTTGTCAGAAACAAATTGATGAAGGTATTGGGTGTTCTGGGTTGTAGATGCTACAGGGCAAGTCACCCTGGTAGCCATTCAAGAGGAGATAGTACTATATTGGTT